TTCACCTCAGCCTCCCAAAGGCGCGGGATTGCAGGCTGAGCCACCAAGCCCGGCTTGCCTCAGTTTTTCAAGCAGCCAGAACTACAGGTGTGCACTACCACACCTGTCTAATTTTTTTTTATATATTGCAGGGACAAGGTCTCATCAAGTTACCAGGGCTGGTCTCGAACCCCTGACCTCAGGCAATCCTCTCGCCTCGGCCTCTCAAAATGTTGGAATTACAGGCTTCAGCCACCGCGCCTGGCCCTTATTCCTTTGAAACTTTTTCTTGTGACAACGTAGTACCAAGTCTGTTATGCTCAAGATAGTGTTAAGTTAAATACTTTTAAAATTATATGAAGTTGGAAAAGAAAGAAAAATGTCATGCAACACGACCTTTTTCTGTGGTACAGGAAATAAGCCTTATGTTCTACATCTGTGAGTGTATAATGCTTATTTTGATAGGTCGCTTTTGAATTTGCAAGAGCTCTCTCACTGGGCAAAAAGAAATTGAGAAATCAAACTCTTTTTGCATTTGGATCTATATGCACCAATAATTTACACAGTGTATTTCAATAGTCATAAGTTGAACCTTTTTACTAGTCAGTCTTAGCCATACTACCCCGGAGGACAGCTAATGTGGAATACTTTCTTCAACGAGCTACTGGAAAGGGCAGATTGGTGTAAGTGATAAAGCAGATAGAAATTTGGGAAAATGGAAAATATCAATTTCCAAATATTACCAAGAATTTTCTTGTAAACATGAAACCCTAAAACGGTCATTTCTACCATGGATTTCACTTGTGTTGCCATGAATCTGCATCCACGGCCTGGATGTTCTGCCGACTAAATTGACTTGACAAATGTAGGCCAGACAGGGAGGATGGGGATGAGCTTTTGTTCACTCTCCCTTCATCATAACTGGTCGCTTAGGGGCACTGGGACTCCCGAGTTCTCCTCCGCTGATGCCCCTCCCAGGCTGTGGCAACTGAGGGGGCCTCAACATGCGGGACCTGAGGTGCAGCTGAGGCTCTCAGGGGCCAGAGTCCTCAGCAGCAAACTCCCCTGATTTCTCCAGCAGCCTCTTCTGCAGACTCAGAGAACCTGCTGAGCTGCTCCCCAGACAAGCTGCACATGTGGACGGCCAGGCCACCAAACAGGGAGGTTTGTGGAGGGGGCGGTACTACTGTGGGAAGAAGTCACAGAGCTTGCGTGCAGTAACAGACCTTAACATTCTCAGCCTCTGCCCGGCTGACTTTCGGTGTAAAATCAGTGCCAGACCCACTGCCACTGAATCTTTCCCAACAGAAGCAAAATAAATTGGGAGCTGTGGCGATTGACCTCGCTTCCACAGGTACCAGTGGAAAAAATGATTCCATTATAGTGGAGGAGGCTCTGACTAGACCTGCAAGAGATGGAGGCTGACTCTCTGGGGGTGATGGGCAGGGAGAGTGGAGTCTGGGTCACCACAATATCCCCACTCATTCCGCAAATAATGAGAGAGATCAAGGTTATATATAAATATTATGAGCAGATTTCACATTTCTCTTGTGATATGAATTATGATTAATCTTTTACTAAAACTTGGTGTATACTACAGAAAATAAGCATTGCAAAGTGAATCCAGTATTTATAATCTGTAAAAGTCCTTTTAAGATCTAAATCAGCGCACTGATCATTGCTCCTTTTAGGAGTTTCCCAACAATCAAGGGCAAAATATAACTTGCCTTCCCTGAAGCGTAGAACACAGGCGTGTAATACATGGCTAGAATAATCACGAGGAGCAGTGCGACCCCCAGAGCACACCCTCTCACCCTATTCCCCTATCTCACCTTCTACTGTCCTTACCAGGGGCCCAGAGCATCAGCAGCCCCAGGAGCTGATGAGGGAACCTCATTTTAGAAGTTGAACTTAGGAGTCCTGATCGGTCAAGGCAAGGTCAGAACTGAGCTTTTATCTCAGACTCTAAGGGAAGATTCTCTCTAATGGTCAATATGCAAATCCCCTGGCAGGTGCAGGGGTGTGAAGACAGACAGTGGGTGGGGGGTATCTCTCCTGTGAGCAGTGTGATATAAAATGTCTCTTGAGAGTTAAACTATGCACCACAGTCATTCAGAAAAGGAAAGGGGCACTGGGAAGGATCTTGAGTGTCTAGGTAATGTCGAACAGCAGCATAGTGGGGACTATACTGGTCAGGGAGCTTCAGAGGGAAGCAATGGCTTGGGATTTTTCTCAACCTGGAGATAATCTATTGTCAGCAGACACGGGCAAAATTTCTTGGAATATGTAAAGCAGACTAGCTCTAGATGCCTAAAAATCTACGTGTTTGGGCTGTTTGGAAATGATTGAAATGTGAAACTGAGTTTGACACAGGCTTTTGAGAAATAAACTTGCAATTGAGAAATAAGCAGCATGGGACCAGTGACACAGGCGATCTTTAGCTTATTTGCCCTGTACACAATCTGTATACTATGTTGTATAAACTGTATTAGTCCAAATAGTCGAACCTCCACCGCTTTGCATGAGATTGGGGTCACACAGAGTCCTATTTCTCACCTGAACCTCAATGGAGCTTTTTTTCCTGATCCAAGGTGATGGAGTGTCTCTGGGTGAGAGAACTGAGACCAAGTCACCCACTGAGGAAGCTTGGACTGGATTCCTGGCTCCCAGCCACCTGGGACTGAGGCTGCTCACATTATGTCACTAGCGGCAAATCATCACCCACTGGAGCATAGATTCATGTTATACACAGAGAGCTCAGGGATTGAAGGCTCCCTGGATATGCACATCTTCTGCGTTTGAGAATCTTTCTATTAAACATTGGGAAAAACAGAGTTATTTCCGTATTTGACATTTCTAAATTTTCATATTCTGTTCTAGATCTTGCTAATCTGAATTTGTTTCCAGACGTTTGAATTATTTGTCTTTCCTTTTACTTGGGAAAACAATCCTACAAATCCACACAGATAGCTGTGAGATTAAGTGGTAGAATTTTCCTCTGTGCCTCTTAATCTTTCTGTAGAGCCCACCTCACACATCATCTAACTGCACAAAGTGAACAATGATCCCATTGTTTCCCAGAGCATTCTGTGTCTTAATTTTATCTCTATTCTCGCCCTAGAAAAAAGAGAACTCTGCCCCAGTAGAAAAATGGGGACTATAATTTGAGAATTCTCAAACTCATAACTTTTTCGTTCATATGAAATGATTTCAAGAATCAGTAATCTCCAGAAACCCTGCAAGCCTGAAGAGACTAGAGTCCCATGTTGTAATGCTCTTGAAGATAAGCAATTCCAGCCAAGAACTTTCTATCCCACAAGGCTAGGTTCACCAGTGATGGAGAAGTAAAGTCCTACCCAGACCTCCAATCCTGAAGAGAATCTACCACCACCAGATCAGCCCTTCAGGAGATGCTTAAGAAGGTGTTTAACACAGAACAAAGAAAAGAGGAAAAATTTTAAAAAGGTCATTCCTATCACAAAATTGCAGGCAAGCACAGAGTTAACAGAACATAACCATGAAAATACACACATATATAAATGCAAGAGTACAAAGAAAGCAGAGCAACCCCCAATATCCCTATTACAAGGACAAACTCACTTTTCAATAATTAATTTGAATGTGAACGGACTGAATGCACCGCTGAAGAGGCATCAAGTGGCGTGATCCAAAAGTCTGCGGCTTCTGAGAAACTCATCTCGTGGCACAGGGTACCCACAGGCTCAAAGTCAAAGGCTGGAAAGCGATCTTTCAGGAAAATGGAAAACAGAAGAGGACAGGGTAGCCTTTCTAGTATCAGAAAAAGCCGACTTCAAACCACCAAAATTTTAAAAGGACACAGAAGCACACCACACAACGACGAAAGGCTCAATTCATCAGCAAGAAACATCCATCTTCAACATAGATGCACCCAGCAGAAGAGCATCAGGTTTCCTAAGATAACTATTCAGTCAACTGAGAGGACATGAACACTCACGCAATCACGGTTGGGAGCCTAAACGGTCCACTCACGGGCCTACACAGATCCTCAAGGCCAACTAGGGACACTCAATTCGTGCGGGTCGATTTCCTCGCATTGCGCTGGGGCGGGGGGCGGGGGGCGGCGGGCGGGGGCGGGGCCTCGCAGGAAGCCCGGCCTGCGCCCTCGCGCCGGCCAGCGAGCGGGGCGGACCCCGCTCCTGCTCCGGTCGGCGGCCCGGGCCCGGCCGGGGCCGCAGGAGGGGCCGGACCAGGGCGGGGCCGGGC